TAGGCCGGTACCAGTCCAACCAGTCTGAGTCTAGAGCCTGTACGGGTAATATCAGGGTCTGCAATGATGTTTCCCTCCGAAACGGAGGAAGTACCGGTTGCTTGGAGAGGCCGAGCGGCCTGGAAGTCACCGCCCAAGAGGCAAGCAGGCCGCTATATCTAGAGGCGGAGGCAAGAGCTCCGCCTCATTCTTCAGTGTGCGAGTTGGGGGTCACGCTGCTGGAGCGCTGGGAGGAGGAGCGCTGGGCACTACAGCGCTGCTGGGAGGAAGAAGCCGCGAGCTTCCACCTCGGCTATGGTGGAGCTCTACCGGTAGGAGGAGGAGGGAGAAGGGGACCAAGGAGGAGAGTGGCGAGGTACTTACTGGCTATGGTAGACACCATCTTCATCTCCTTGCTAGGCGCTGCATCAGGAAGGCCCCAGTGGGGGTAGTGCCGCATCAAGGAAGCTCGGACAGAGTCAGGCATGGCGGTTGAGTGGGCAGCGACATAGCTGCTGAGTGATGACCTTGGAGTAGGGCAGTAGTGTAGCTGCTTTGGGTTGTCTTTGGTACCGGAGGCTGAAGCCTCAGTTGTCCACCATAGCCTCGGCCTGTATGTGGAAGAAGAAGAAGGGCTGCCATGGCTATGGTGGACCTCATCTTGTGCCTGCAGTAGAAGTGGGATTCAGACATTGATTCTGGTTCAGCTGTTCAACATTATTATTGTTTATTTTTTGTTTGAATAAGAGAGGATGAGATAAAGAGGAGGAGGCTGTTGAGCGAAGAAGAAGAGCTTTGTCTTTGGTCTATGCTGGAGTACATCATCTCTTTCTTCTTTCTTACTTCTTCTTCTTCTTCTTTCCCTCTCTCTCCTCTCAAGTTCTTTCATTTCTTTTGCAATTGAACGACATTGGGCTCAAGTTCATTCATTTCTTTTCGCAATTGGACAACATTGTACTTTCTGATGATGAACATTGGGCCAGGATCGTAACATTGGTATCGGAGCGGATTCTACTTGTTGGCGAGAGTTGACTTTGCTGCCATAACCCTAACCCTAATGGTAAGGGCAACCACTTAGGGTAGGGGCTGGAAGTTAGGGTTAAGTGGGGCAGCGTGATAAAGGGAAGCTGCTCCCACCTGGCAGGGCCGTGTAGGGTCGACACCAGACCCGGCCAGGTTGTTTGAGTGCATGTTTATGGTGGCGAGACACAAGGTGGGACTTCGTGATGCAACTTGAGAGAGGCGACAGTGAAGGGCACCTACAACTTGAATCTGGACTTCAGGGAAGACGAGGAGTGACTTTAGGCCTCCCCTCAAGTAGGCGAGCTTGAGGGTGGCAGCCATATCTGCACCTACGGACTGCAAGTTGCTGCTTTGATCTTCAACATTGACGGGGGATCCGGCTTTGTACTTTGGGGTAGATGTTGACCCTCCTAGATGATAGGACACTAGTGTAGAGGATGCTAATTGGGTCAGGAGGACTATGTGAGAGGGGGGTGAGTTCTTTCATCTCAAGAGCCCGGCCACTCAGGTAAGTGTCGTGCCACCAGGGTGCCCATGTGTGTGTGCATGGAGTTGACTGCCTGTTGGGGTTCTCTGGGTTCTTCTTCCATCCTCCATAGTCTTGATTGTGTGTGAGGTGTGTGAACTGCCTACTCACCTGATGAGTGAATGAATGGAGTATCTTGTTTGCCATGMGATAWCTCTCTACAGTGCTTTGTTTATTTCATTCTGAACGGCGGTAGTCTACAGGTTCTTTCTGGGGCAAAATTTCGTTTTTCAATTCAGTAGGGACAGAGTAGGTCTCTGTGGAACTCTTGTTGGTTGGGACCCGGTTCTGACTCCACTGGGACCATTTGGGACTCAGTGGGACCGGGCCCAAACAAGAAGGGCCCCTCAGGCCAAATCTGTTGACGTCAGTTACCTTGCTCTATCTGATTGGGATACGGACTTTATGCTTTCGGACCAGGACACTCACTGCGGAGGGGATCTCTGCTGGGACGTTTTATCAGACTTTACCACGCGATCCGCCGCCTGACTCGCACCTTATACACCACTCAATTCTCTCTTGCATTTCGCTGTACATCTTGAATCCGATTTGCTGTGTTTTCACGGAGCTGAGGCTGGCTAGGCTTGGGAGGACCCCATACGTAGTCAGTCCAGACTGTGTGGCTGGATCAGATCTCTCTGATCTTTTCTTTTTTTTTGCTGTTTTAACTGCTCTCCAGTCCAAATGAATTGTCGCTCCGGCCAGGAGTTCTACCTTCTCTTCTGAATGATTTCAAGCTGTTTCTTTCATTGGGTTCTTTAATGCCTGCGTCTACACGATCGCAAACGAGAGAGAGAGAGAGAAGAGAGAAGTTATTGAGTGTTGCTCTTGAGGGAGTGAGGAGAGGGAAGAGGAGCGTTCGTCACAAAGCTGAGAGGAAGTACGGACCCCTCTTGAGAGTCTTACTGATACCCTCATCCTCCATCATGGCATCTGTAGCAAATTGGAAACTGCAGATGGACGCTGCCCCTGAGGCAGAAAAAACGCAGTATCAGTTCTTCTACGAGAAAGCCTTGAAGAGGGAGGAGGAAGAGAAAGAGAGAGAGAGAAGGGATAAGGTGCAGGCTCACGAGGCCGTCCTTAGCACCGTGTTCGCTCTGACCGATGAGGAGGTAGAAGAGAAAACAGTTCCCCTCCTCAGAGCCTTAGCAGGGGTCCGGGTTGCTGAGGACCATACTGGCCAGCTCGCATAGGTGTTTAAGCAGCTCAAGGAGTTGCGCGAAGACATGGCCAAGATGGCGCAGCAGCACCGCGATCAGCTGCAATAGTTTGCTAGTTCGCAGCAGGCTCAAATCGTCTCTTCACTCACCTACCCTGCCTCCAATGCTGCGTGTCAGTCCAGTTTTGCCCCTCTGACTACGTCTACTTCTTCTTCTTCTTTGAGTGTGGTTAACAGCCAAACTGGATCTGCAGCAAGTCCAGACCCCGCTGCTGCTGCTGCTGCTGCTGCAACGGCAAGTGGTGGTGCAGGGACTTCTGGAACTATTGCAGCCCCGGGCCCGGACCCAGCAATGGCTGGGCCAGGCGGCAGCTTTGCTTACATCGACAGGAAGGCGGCGCAGATTCCGTCCAAGTATGACGGAAAGGACGACGTCGAGTCTTGGATCAGCTCTATGCGGTCCTACTTTGATGTATTGGGGACACCCCTGTCCACTCAGTCGTCTATCCTGGGGACCAATGTGGAGCCCGTCGTGCGGGGTTTCCTAGAAACCCAGGCTATCCAATCAGGCTATAAGAGAATAGACCTGAACAAGTGGCTGAAGGCTACGCTTACTACCACACTTGAAAATCTCTTGATCAAACAATATGCTGATCCACATGTTGCAGCTAAAGCAAGACTTAAGCTTGACAAGCTCAAGCACAACAAGTGGACAGCAGTACGTCAGTAAACTCTTTGCTACTCCGGATCTGGAGATGACTGCGCAGTCTTGCTTGGATGTGATAAAAGGTACGGTCCCCTCTACTTTGAAAGATCGCCTAGGGCTCGGGCTCAGCGGATATACAGATTGGCTT